TCGATGCTATATGGTTATCTCCATTCTATACAAGTCCAATGTTCGATATGGGATACGATATTAGCAACTTTACAGAAGTCGATCCAATCTTTGGTACATTACAAGATTTTAAAGATTTAATAGAAGGTACTCATGAGAGAGGTATGAAACTAATCGTGGACTTCGTTCCTAATCATACATCGGACAAGCACAAGTGGTTCGAAATGAGTATCAAAAAAATCGATCCCTACACCAACTATTACGTTTGGAGAAAAGGACGAACTCTTCCTAACGGTACCATCACGTATCCAAATAACTGGGTAATTGAATCAAAAACAAATTAATTATTTCTTCGTATACTTTTGAAATTGAATATCACGAATGACTTTTACTTTACGTACTCATTTACATATATAGATAAGTACTTACAATGATCCAGGATGGATTTGGAATGAAGAAAGACAGGAATATTATTATCACCAATTCTCGACATTCCAAATTGAATTAAACTACAACAGCACAGAACTTAGAGAAGAAATGAAGGTAATTATTAATTTCCGAATAATTAAGAATGCTAAATTATAAGAAATGAATTTTGAATCGCGTTCTCGCGCTCTAATCGATGTAATAATTTTTAATGTAATAAATTTTTATATTACTTTTATCATCGAAATAATTAATTCGTACGCAATATGGACGAAGAAAAACATCAAGTGCTTGTCCGTTTTAAGGTTGAACGTTCACGTCGATGCGACGCAATACGTTAATCTAATCAGTAATATGACGCAATATATCTAATCTGCATTTTTCAACTTTTCACTTGTTCACCTAATCTGAGGAAAAAGTGGAAAAAATTTTTCACTGCTAACGAAATTCTCGGTATTGCCAAAATCTTATTATTTCATTTGAATTCTTCAAAGATATTTTCTATTTCTTATAATTTCCTTGAATTTAAACGAGATTTATGATCTGTCGCAGAAGAGTTATTAATATTAGAAAACAAAATTGAAATTTTGCAGAATGTCTTGAAGTTTTGGTCAGCTTTGGGAGTGGACGGTTTTCGAATGGATGCTGCACCTTATTATTACGAAGATCAAAAATTTTTAGATGAACCACTTTCTGGAACCATTTACAATCCTCACGATTACTATTCTACGAAAAAAATATACACGAGAGATCAACCGGAGACCTACGATTTAGTTCAAAGCTGGCGGGATTTACTGGACGAATATTCCATCAAAGAGAAATGTCCAAAGGTTTTAATCATCGAAGCATACGCCAGCGTGGATTATACTATGGATTATTATAAACACGGGGCACACTTTCCTTTTAATTTCAATTTTATCGATAAACTGAATAAAGATTCAACGGGATCGGATGTGGCAAAATACGTGGAGGATTGGATATCGAATATGCCCGATGACAGCGTCGCCAACTGGGTGGTAAGTCACGCGCCAAGAGATAAATCAATTTCAAAGTTTGCTAACAATTCTTGTTTTTTTTTTCTTCGTATACATTATCATCCTAACGTCCTTGATATTTTTCCAAATTCGTATTTTACATAAATACAATCGCTAACCGATAAACTGTCAATGCAATCACTATCGTGAAATAATTTAACTCTTAATTTTATTTTCTATCTGTCCATTATATTTAATATTCTTTTTTATCGAAAACAAAATAAACAATTATTTGAAATTTTATAAAGAAATTAACTGAATCGAATTTAACAGAATATTACGAAACGGACAGATATATTATCACATTTTGCAGAGAATTTTCATATGACGTATGAATGTAATAGTCCCTATTTCGGAATGATGTCAAATGTAAAAGATATACTAAATCTAAGATATAGTAAATCTAAATTCGTCTTTCTCACGATTTAATAATTCAGTACTAAAATGATCTATTATAGAAAATGAATATCATGATGACTATAATGTTAAACGATAATAATCATCATTAAAATAAAGTCATAGGGTGAATTCGAATGGTGAAAATATTTCAATGATGATTTTAAAAGGTAGAAATGAAGATTACAATTATAAATGAAAATAAAATAACGCTATATGAATTTTAAAGCATACACACACACACACACACACACACACACATACATATATATATATATATATATATATATATATATATAAAAGATATAACTCTTTTGAATAAACATTAAAAATAAATACAAATCAATAATTTCAACAAACTATATATTCCGTTTAGAGTGGAAATCATGACAATCGTAGATTAGTGTCACGAATTGGAGAAAAACGAGCCCGCATAATCATGATCTTGGTATTTCTACTTCCGGGTGTGGCCGTAATTTACAACGGCGATGAAATAGGTATGGAAGATACGGTACTTTCTTGGGAAGATACAAAGGATAACGAAGCCTGTAACGCCGGTAAAGATAAGTACTTATCTAAAAGCAGAGATTATGGAAGAACACCTTTCCAATGGGATAATTCTACTTCAGCTGGTACGTTTTCCAAAAAATAATGGTTCTTTTGATATTTCTTTTTTTATATTTGTTTATTTTACATATGTATTTTCTCATACGTACCTATCTTTAATTATATTTATAATACTCGAACATTATAGGATTTTCTACCAATCCCAAACCTTGGTTACCTTTGAATAGTAATTACTTAGAATTGAATTTGGCTAATGAAAAGATATCGAAGGATTCTTTCTATAACATGATAGTATTTCTTTCGAAATTCAAGAAAGATTTTCCTACGGAGAACGAAGAATTTGTTATGAAAGTACCAAACAAAAATGTTTTAGCCTTTTCAAGGTAAATATTCAAAATCGTTCTTACAAATGCTATTCCATGTAATCACCTTTTTTCTTTTGTTCGTTCGTTTTTTTCTTTTATATGGATATCATATATAATATATAATTATTACAGACATACGAAAGATGACAAGCCTGTTTATATAGTGGCAAATTATGGAAATAATGATGAACAAGTTGATATGAAAATCTTTAATGATGTGCCAAAGAAACTTATACTTTATTACGCTACAGAGTCGTGTGATATATCTATTGGGTAAGTTGAATTATATAAATTAATATCATTTTAACGTTAAGACGCTTTCGAAAATGTTAGGCTTATCTTTATTTTTTTTTTATCGTGCAAAACGTAATTATTCTTAAATAAATCTAACTCTTTTCGCAAATTTTTAAATAATAAAATTATATCCTATATATGATTTGTAAAATATATAGGTATTATAATTCTATAATTCTTTCTTTTAAAACAGAGACGTCATCAAAGACAGTGGCAATCTAAAAGTTCCTGCACAAACGGGATTCATTCTTACCAGCATTTCTTAATTGGATATTATTTATTCAAATGCACAATGTTATCAAGAATAATTACACCATTTCTCAGAACATTGTTACAAGGAATAAATGATTCTAATCTTTGTTAATGCGTTTATCGATGATATCGTTCAAGGATGTTTATAAAATAATTCATTCTAAACTTATATTACTAAATAAGATAAGCAAATAAAAATTAATTCACAAAAAAGTTTTAATCGAAAGCTCTCTTTTTTTAAATATTCTACTTCAACTTTATTACCCTTTCATATTCTTCTCGCGAATGTAGAAATCTTTCTATGTTGAGATCAGAGATGAATTTAAAGCGATTCATATTTCAAGATTGACGAAACGACAAGCACGTCGATCTCGTTGCCAATTACAAACGGCTATCAAATCCGGAAACTCCGTATCATGCCATGTCGTTCAGACATGCACGAACCTATAACACGCAAACGGAAACATAATTATTCTCGTTCGTTTCAATTAAATCTGACAACTTTCTAAATTTCACATATCTAAGTTTTATCGCGATCGGTAAACATCGATCATTTCTCATACGTCGAGAGATGATATCGTCACGATAATACATCGTTCAATGTAACAAAATCAAATTTTTATCAAAAATTCAACTAAAACAATTCGTACTTTGGAAAAAATTCTTATATTAATCTGTTTTTTAATGTTAAGAAACTTGAATACTTTTTTTAAATTGTATTTTTCATAAATCTTACGAGTTTAATATAATCTTAACTTCTACGAATAAATTGATTCTAACTCGATTAAAATATATTTTAAATATATATATATATATATGTAATGAAGAACCATTTATTCTTATGTTTCTTTATAAGTAATCGTTGAATGAATACTAGTCATTAACAATTCAATGAGAACTGGTTAAACTTTGCAATTATATCAAACGTGCTCAATGAATAAACGTGCTCTCAAAGTATTTTCCTCACAATGATACGATATCGACATTTACCTCTTTTCGTCTTCGCGTTTAAATTATTATCAATAACTTATCGTTATCAGATGGAATTCAAAGAAGCAACATAGATATGTACATAAGTGTATAAAGAGAGAAAAAACCGAACGTTTTTTAAAGTAAATCGTATCAGACTTAAATTATTCTCATTTAGATTTGACAGATAATTGAGAAACACTTTTTCACAAAGAAAAGAAAATCATCTAAATAAGTAACTGCTTTCGGCAATAGGCAAATCAAGTGTGAATTTTAGCCCGATGATTCCATTAATACCATCGATGAAGAACATGGATGAATGAACCACGAGTTGCCACGGTTTTTGAAGGCTTTCGATCGTTATCATCGATATGGCAAGATACGTTCATTTTTAAATGCTCATCTATTTCCATGACACTGATAAGACATTACTGATAACATAGATACCATCGCTCATGTCTTCATTTTGGTTTTTTTTCTTTTTGTGTTATAACGAACTAACAGTATTCTCGTATCGGTCTAATCGTAAAAATGATGTACCCACGTCAATATATCGGTATAATTTTTCTGTGTTTCTCAATACCTATCGTTTGTTATTACTAAAATTCACCATTAAAGATGATTGAAACATGCTGTGCTCTATCAGATCTACCCTCAAAATTTCATGGACAACAACAACAATGGTATCGGCGATATCAAAGGTAAAAAAAATCGTATTACTTTTCATCCGATAGTAATCGTCTAGAAAGGATTGAAACGAAGAGTCGATTTTACAGTAAAAAGTCTTTCTATCTTTCTATCGTCTCTTATCTATTATTTTAACGATCATAATGATTTTCGAGATATGTATCGGTTAAAGCAACAATACTTATTGCGCCGGCATCGTAATAATTACGTACTCACCTGATAAAGATCTTGATGATCCGATAAAGAAATAACGTCTCAATTGTAGTAATTATAATACTAAGAGATTTGTACGTCTTCATTGGATTTTATTCCATTATTATTATTTCCTACAATTATAATTTCGTAATAACAAAGTAAAACTTTTTCTTTTGTTATTACGATGTAACGTTTTTCAATTTTCCTTTGTATACCTAGTTATGCCAATAAGAAATCATTCGACGAAAATAATTCATGGAAAAATTCAAACTATGATGCAAAAGTAACGAGCGAACTTGAGCACTACGTTAACTCCGAAGTTATAGGAATCTTGTTATCACCTGTCAACAGTAATCTCATAAAAGACTTTGGATATGATATTTCTGATTTTTGTGATATTCATCCTGAATATAATTAAAAAATGCTCGAATTGGAAGTATTAAATATGCTAATTGTATATCTGACAGTAATAATAATCATTGCGAATAATTAAATTATTCTGTATCTCATTCTCAATCATAGTAATTAGATCAACACGAATGGTTTAACAAAATTTTAGAAAGTGTTAAAGTGTCTGGAGGGAAATATAAAGATTATTACATATGGGCGGATCCTTTCAATGAAACTGACGTGGTGAAATTGAAGTGACTACCAAATAATTGGCTTGGTGTATTTGGGAACCCAGATTGGACTTATTATTCCCATCGAAAGTAAATATATTTACATCGATTTCATCGAAAACAACGAGATCCAAATTACAAAAATTCTAAGATGATATACGAATTACAAGTAAGCAATTAGTGAAATGTAATTTTCGAAAAGAAAAGAAAATGTTGAACCTATGAAAATATAAAGATTTCAATCATTAAAGTATAGAAATAATATTGACTGTAATAATTTTCAGCATATATGTTTCAATAAAGAAACATCATGAATCCTTACGCAAAGATGTATAAAGAAGAAAAAAAGGTATATACTTCATATTTATAATATTATATATAATATTTTACAAATTAAGATATATATGTGTATATATAGGTATACTGGTATCTTCTGTGTAATTAATGTAGTCAAATGGTACTTTAAAAGATGCTGAATTAAAAAATGTGATAGACACATGGATTTAAACTACGCCAATAAAAAATGTTACCTGATTGGTTGGTAAGTCAAGAGGTTTTTTCATTAATTAATCTAATTATTTCTTGAAATACAAATTTCAATAATTTATTATAGATGAGAAATCACGAATGCAATCGTATCGCTGGGAGGCTCGATCAGATAACGATGTTGGCAATGATTTTGCTTGATGTTGCGATAACTTATTATAAAAAATAAATTGATATAATGATTAATCAAAACATAATATTTAAACAGATGCTCAAGCTTGTAGCATTGTTAAGAAATCTTATAAAAGCAAATCTTATCTTATACATGTAGAACACCATTTCTGTGGAATAATACGATCGATATAGGTAAGAAACATTAAAATTTATTTAACTTTAATCTTTACATTGCATAAATATCCCGAAATGACAGAAAGATTATATCATAATATTTTTTATCTTGAATTTCAACAGAACCTTGGTAACCAGTTAATGAAAATTATGAAACACTAAATTTGGAACAGTAAAAAAAAGATACTAACTCATATTACAAGATTTACACTGCACTAACAACTGCACTAACGAGGTTACGAAGTTCAACGAGTGCACTCAAAAATGGATCGTATCAAAGTAACGTCAAAAATAATAATCTAACGAAGATGAGTAAGTAACTGTTCTTATAAATTTTTCGAATAATAAATCGCAATCGATCAATCTCACTGACGTGTTAGAAAATATTTCTACAGGTATAACAATTTTTGTTGAAATGAAAAAGAAAAAAACGAAAATTTGCAAATGTCGAGTCAAAAATATAAGTCAAATAAGTTTTATTTATTCAACTTTATACTATCTATGATAAATCATTAATTTTCTTATTTAGTTACATTTCCAATATAACGACAATAATTTATTTTTCAGTAAAGAACAAGATGGATATACTGTGATCGTTTCAGAAAAAAACTCCGATAATCCTTCATTCAACGTATCAACTTTCCAATGTTTCCAAGTAATATACTAACTATCTTCTAACGATTTTACTGCTAACATTCACCATAGCATTAAAATTATAAGAAAGAATAAATTAATGCCATTAATGTTTCTCATATATTTATCTTCGTATTACATTTATATCATCGCGCATTAAGTTAAATTAATCGGAATGTGAAAAGAAAATTCTATAAAAAAAGTTCTATAACGATTTTATATATAAAATACGTATTCCTATATATAATACTTTGATAAATATATTATTTCATAGTGTATTAACTAGTGTGATTATAATGTGTATCATTGATATGATACATAATTTTTTTATTATAATAATAACTATTCCTATATCTCGCTAAATATTCATTCATATACACTTTATAAACCTTATTTACGCAAATAAAAAGAAGAAAGTCTTGCCAAAATGATTGGCTTACTTTTGTATTGTGAGCTAAGTTTTTAAAACTCGTTTCAGTAGATAAAGGTGAAAGTGCCGGAAGTATTGCACAAAAATTAATTGCAGGTTTTGCAATATCTTTTTTATTCTTTTTTATTATTTTAAAGGATAATTTCCCATCAGAAAACATTCCTTTCGATAAAATATGAAAAATTCACGCAGTTACGATTTTATCATCATTATTATCATCACCATCGATATCTTGTGATTTTTATAAAATTTAAAAGGAATATTGAAGAGTGAAATGTCAAAAGCGAACGGCGAAAAAATCGATAGAAACGTTATTTCTTTATATAGTCTTAAATTTTTATCTAATATCAATATAGAAAGTGCTGAATCGTGAAAATTCTAAAAAATAGTATCCCCCTTCAATCCCTCAAAATGGTCATGTTACGTTTTACAGAGTTGTCGTTGAAATTTATATTCCCGAATTTTCGCACCATTACGAATCGCTTGGACAGTGAAGGTAGATAAATGAGAAACTAGGTCGAAACCGTTACCGGCACCTACTTTTTCTTGAAGCAGCAGACCCCTCCGGGTATACTGATCGTTTGCCGAAAAATGTAAATCCAATTTTCCCTCCCAATTTACCCTGACATTCGGTACGCTGAATACAATCCCGCGCAGCCTCACATCAAGTACGCACGCTCCCGATTCCATTCGAACGGTAATTTCCTTTCTCCATCGCCGCAAGAACATTTTCGAATAAACTTACGTCCTTCGCTTTACCTTTTTCTTCGTTTCACCACATAGTCTTTCTTTTCTTTTCATTCCTTCGATAAAAATTGAAACGACTCTGATCTGAGATATTTCTGACAATTATTCAAACAAAAAAACCAAATTATCATTTGAGAAAGATGAGAAAGTTGGTAGATTATTGATTTTATGATCGAAAAGTGGGTTGTTCAATATGAAAAAAGAAGATAATCATTGATGATTATACAAGACTACACATTATGTGTACGTCGATCGTCACTATATAATAATGTCACTATATAATGAATAATTTAAACGTTGAAAACGCTATTATGTTTCTCCTTATTATTTGTATTATTTTATGATGTAATTCGTATGCTTTTCGTTTTTCTTAATTTATATATTATTTTATGTATTGTATATACAGCATCATTTATAATATATTAAAAAGCATAGATTCATTTAATATAAACGTATGATGTATGATAGATAGTTTCATAAAGAATCGAACAATTGATTTTTCGAAAAAAGTTAAAAAAATGTCAACCGACTTAAAAACTCAATACGATCGTAATACAATTTTACGTTCTTAGAATAATTCGATTCAATTTATTTGTATTAAAATCGTAGAAATCCAATGATGAATAATACTCGAGATCTTCTCGTAGTTCGTAACGGAGCTTTGCATTTCTCGAAGGAATATAGGCGAAGTTCAAGTACCGGTTCAAATGTAAACCACGTTATCGTCATCTTAATTAATATTTGATCGAGCTTTGGATTAATGTAAAGTTTAAAGCAACAACTTCAAAACACGTTACACGCCATCGATTCCTCATTGATTGTAATTAATTTGTCGGCAAAATCGAGAAAACAAAATAATTTATTTCTATGCATTGGCATAGAAATAATTTTACATATATTTTAGATAAGATGTCTATATAAGGATACGATGTGACATAAGTTCTTTTATATATAAATTTTACTTTAAATCGATCTATCTATTACTCTGAGAAAAAAAGGAAAAAAAACAGAATATAAACTATGCATTGCTTTTGATGCATCGACTTTAATTCGATGACAGGAGATCAAATATTGTTGATATTAAAAAATGATTTATTTATATTGACGTCCTTTCAATAAATTCTGATATAAGTTCTTAATATGAGTACTATCAAACAAAATGAATATGGACAATTTCGAAACATATAATCACAAAACATTCTCAGTTTTTGTGAGAAATGTGCAATTCGATAAAAAAGAACTTGCAAAATATTTTTCAAGAAAATAGATTCGAGAAAAGAAAAAGAAGAATTCTTATTATTATTAAGCTATAATAATAAATGGAATAAAAGATTAAAAAGTTTTGTAATAATACTTTCTCAATGAAAACGTCTCTATACTGTATTTTATCGAAGTAATTACTATTCCTGTTATTATATTTATTTACTTCTCGCATCGAAAAAAATCGGTATTTGTTATAGAAAATCGATTTTTACGAATATTCTCGATAGATAGAAATATCGGAAATATGTATTTTATGAAAAACGTCATCAGTAACACAGCTATCTAAAAATAATTTAATCATGCTACCAATTCAAAGTGATAATAGTAATACAAATAGTAATACCATTGTAATGAAAAAGAACATATTCAAATGAAATACAATAAATATGGAACAAGGAAATTGATGTTCAAATATAGTGAATGGAAAAGTGTTCGCATTATATTTAAATAGAGAATCAAGTTCATTGTTGTACGAAAAAAAAAATTTCTGAAAGATATAGTAACATATATATATATATATATATATATATATATATATATATATATATATATACGTCCCTTCAGTTTTATGATAGAAAATTAGTAATTATTCATATTGCATGATCGTCTTAAAAAATCACCGAAACGACCGATATTACGGCCTAATTCAAAGAACGATAATTTTAAAACTCCCGGCACAAATGTTATCGGTTAATGAGTTTTAGTAGTAACGACAGTAAAGTCTCGCTTTAATTAAATTTTCAACTACGTTCTACGTAAAAGATTATTCAAGACAATAATGAATATTGATAACTAAATTTTATATATACTTGATCAAATAATAAAATAAATTTCTTTATTCAGTATCGTAAAACGATTATAATTGTAACTCAAAAAATTTCCTAAGCTAGAAATTAAAAAACATACAAAATTATTTTCCAATTACTTTTGTTCCTATAATAATAGTTTTAGGTGACAAGGTAAACCATCAGTGTTAGTAACACCTAAGAAAAAATTCCTACGAATCACCAGCATAACCGGTCCACCTTCGGATTAGATGATACGGAAGTAGGGCGATAGGATGAAGTGCGGCATCGAATATAAAAAAAGAAAAAAAACTCGGTCATAACTCAGCGCTAACTACTCGCACATATACGTATGCGTATATGTGTATATGTATGTTCGGTCATTCGTTCACGAAAACAGTTACGATTTCAGAGATTCTTTTCAAATATTATTTCATGCCTTTCGATCCAACACATCGACAGCGCATAGATACATAGATAAATTCTAAATGGTGATATCGATTATTTTATTGATTTTATTAAATACAAATCGAATGTGATGAATCTCTTGTTAAGCATCTTTTAATTAAAATACATTTTGTAATTTTCAACTATCGAAAGTAAAAAATTATTAGAGGATTGTTTTCAATAGAAGTTATAGAAAAATATTCAATTTAAAATTCATCGTGAATATATTGTTTTCAATAGTATCCACAAATGCTTAAACCACTCAACGACGAAGAAAAGTTGAAAGGTTAAAAGCTAGATCCTTGGAAAGTGATAACGCTAAAACGATGCAAAGTCGCAGAGGGAATTATTCAAGTATATAAAAAGAAGAGTAAGGAGGGGAGCGCATATTGGGGGAATCGCAACAAAGGCAATCCCTACAATGCACGCTAAACGTAATACGAAGACGGTACTTCCTGTATAATCTTTCCTCCTCTTTGCTTCTATTTCTCGAGTTTGGTTGAGCGTCCGCAAAAATCGATTGTTAGTTTTATATGTACAACCAATGGGAATTTGAAGTTTTGTAAAACGTCTAACTACCCAACAAAGTCATTTTCTCGATGTTCGTTCTACAACGAACGAACAAACGATATTCCATGCGATCGCATTGGGACAGAAAATCAATGAAATACAATTTCTTTAACGTAAACCTAGCTGTTTTCTATTTTTCCGATTTTCCTTATCTTCTTTACAATAGAATACGTAACCTATTTTTTTGTTGTTGTTTATTCAACAAAAATAATAATAATAATAATAGTAATAATAATTCATTGGAGTAAAGGAAAAATCTTTCAATATTCGAAATATCTTTCACAATTCGTCGTAATGGCAGATCAACGAATGAAATTTCAAATCGGCTTTAAATCATATCTCTTCCATTTGTTTTCAAATTCAATGTTTAATACGTATCTAATTATTTGAGCAAAATTGTTTGCGGTACCGTAGTAATATCTTTTTTACAAGCTTTTAAATGGAAATGACAAGTTTTACATATAGTGACGTAATAGTGACGACAGTTTTAATAAACACGTAAACTTCAAAGGCTCGCTGTATCTAAACATTTACTTTCTAGGTGGAACGATCCTTTCGTTATCCACCCGAAGCCACATTCTTTAGTGTTGTTAAACAAAACAAAGCGAAACTTGGCTTCAACGTTAACAGGATAAAAGATGAAAATCCATGGAAAAAAGGTAAAAAAAGAAAAGAAAAAAAAAATTAAGATCGACGTCAAATCAACGTACATGGTAACGTTATGAGGGAAAGTGCAACATAACAGATATTCTGGGTATGAAAAGTTGATCGAGCAACTGTATCAACAAACCAATCTGCTTTGATACTTCCTTTCTCTTCTAACGCGAGCTATGTTCCACGAGATTTATCCGAAATCTTGACTGAATTGAAAACAGTTAAAAGCGTGAAAAAGTCAACAAATGTTTCGATCTTTCAATACAATTTCAATCAAAGGAATGTAGAGAAATGTATTACATACGCTCTTTGATGATACAGAAATAAAGAACGAAAAATCTCAAATGATTTCATTTTTATGTTTTATCGTTTGGTGAACGTCACTATACCGTCTATATCTATAGTGTCTTCTTTTAAAGCTCCAAAGTTCACAATTTTTGTTTACCGTTTGATCGAATTTCAGAAACGATAGTAGCTATACGATCCTTGTAAGATGTTTTGCCTTTTCCTTATCCTTCCTTTTTTCTCATAATTTTAAGATAAAATAACCGATAAAATGTTAGTATCAGCGTCGCCGTAATACGACTTTTGCCATTGTTACGTAACAAGAAAGAAAAAACAAAGATAAATGACAGACTCATCGACGAGCAATTAAACAACCTAACCCCAGTTAGAACGAGCAGGATTTAACGAGAGAAAAAAGGACAAGAGTTTCCAATGGCTTCTATGTTTTCCAATATTATCCAATTAATAGTCCAAGTTTAGAGCCGACGCGTCAATATTATCTCGAGTAAGCAAGATCGCTAAAATCGACGACCGACAATTTTATTTCTGGTTTAAAACAAAAAGTCGTCGAACCGTGTCGCGGTTCACGATGCGTTTCGCGACGCCTTCGTCACAATCTCCTCCGTAATCCACCTAACCATTCCCCTCCTCCTTCCCAATCTCACCCAACAACATCACCATTGCCACCTCCGCCGAGAATTTCTCCGAGTGCCCTCGCGTAATTCTAGTTTGATTTAAATCGAGGTCAAGCGATTGGGACCCTTCTCTCTTGTTAAAGTGGCCTGTTTATACGCTATTTCCGGATTGGACAAAATAAACCAAAGATTGGGATGTGACCTGTTCGGAGGTTGTTTGCTATTCTACTTACATATATGCGACCCGGCTGCATTTTCGTCTCAAATATCCGTCGTATTAATTCTCTCGATTTCAACAATTTTTTATCCTCGTCCTATCGAGAGCTTTGAGTTCTTTTTTTTTTCTTTTTTTTTTTTTTTTTGAATTGACAAAGCTAATAAACATCCTACCAAATAAATATAGACATCATTTTTCTTTTTCCTTTTTATGTAAACCGACGAAAAGAGTTGATGAATGTCGAAAAAATTGAAAAGTAAAATATGTTCTTCTTACTTCCAGTAGTCAACTAGCTACATCAAAGGAAATTCCATTGGTGCGTTTCTTCTTACTTGATTTGTAAAAGCTCTGGTCTGCGAATTTTCTTAGCCTGTATCTCTATAGATCCTTTTGTAAGAGAAAGAAGGAGGAGGAGATTATACGTTTCTATCTTTCTTCAGTTCACTTCGTTTGCGATCTTTCCCTCAGTCCCCCTATTTCAATAGCTTTTGTATTACCAAGATTTACACCTTACGCACGTACACTAAAACGATATTCTCTCTACGAAAACTTTTCGCCTTCGGCTGAGTTACAGAATAAAATTTGTTAACGCTCTACCCAACCATAGTCTGTTGTTATCGATCGATTTCTCGAAACTCCAAAAATAGAAAAGAAAATCTCAAGACGGAAATGTTAAAATGTCTACAATGTCAGCAGCTGGATGAGTTTCAAGATGTTGAACGCACGAACTCTATTAAAGAAAAGCTAAAGTAAACGTTGTAGACGTTCAAACTCTCTCTCTCCTCTCTCTCTCTTTCTCTCTCTCTCTCTCTCTATCCATCTATCTATCTATCTCTTTCACTCTTTCTATCTTTATCTTTCTTTCGTTCTGCCTCGGAGCATAAAAACGTCGTCAAGAATTACGAGACGAAAGAAGTTCGTAGATCGAAAAAACGAATAACCATCCTGACAGCGATTACTCCGATTGTTTCTTATTTCTTAATCAGCTATCATTCTTAAAGGCGAGAATGAATGAGACACAAACAAATTGAAAATTGTAAGAAAAAATTTAAACGTCGTTCGTTAACCTTTAACGTAAAGAAACAAACTTAATTGTTTCCTTCTTCTTTTCTATTATATCTATGTCTCATTAATTTATCCTATTTGTAAATTTGACATTTAGAATCCCTTAAAATTTCATTTATTTAATTAAATAATGAAGGGTCATCATTCGGTCTGTTGCATTTTTTATTTATCAAAAAAATCACTTCAATACCAAATTCATTGGACAGAGCAAGGCGCTTACGTTGTTAAATCCACGGAATCCTAGCACAGCGTGGTAAATAGAATCGGTTAACTATTTCGTTTTTCCTTAACATGCGATTGGCCGGTATCCATGAACACGTTAAAGCAAATGCGATGAGATAAATCGAGATACCTGGGACAAAATAGACCACGTGATGATTTTATCAAACTTTCCTGTTAACTTAACGAAATTCCCTTCACATCTCGATACCAGAGGAAGTTCATTTCTTGGTTTCGAATTTGTACGATTAAGTTCGTCACTTTGATCAAAATCTAAAAAAAATCTATATATTCACTTAGAGAAGCAAAATCAATTGAAAAGTTAATCGAATTGCAACCTTTACGACAATAATTAAATTCATCAACGAGAACAACCAGCTAGCGGACCTTATTCGATCAATCGATTGCAATCACGAATTTTACTATAATAAATTATCGCTCGTTTTTACTTCAACAAAAATTGCAAATATTCCATTAAATCGATATTTTGATGAAAAAAAAAAGAAGACAAATACCTGTCGGAATAAAAAGTTCAAGCTTAACGGACTACTTTGTTATAATTTCATTTCTTATAATTTGAACTTTTATTGACTCTATCAAAAAGAAATGAATGAAATTTATATAAATCCATCTGCTTAATGTAAGTACCATGAAAAATCAATTTCATTATTATCAATTCCTGATAAAATTTTGTCAAAAAATAAAATATCATCGTACAGAAATAAATCTAAAATTAATATCTTTGTTTATAATAATCCATAGGAATATATGAATTTGAGATGATCGAAAATCGAAGAAAATTCTGTGGCAAACATTTAAACCGGACGGATGTATTATATTTAAATATAATATAAATACATACGAAGATGTCCAATTATCCAATAGCTTTGAATAATATAATACTTAATGATGGATTTAATTCTCGACTGACATCTGCATTTTCTCACAAACAACAACAAATTGAATCCATGTTATATATGATACAATAATATATGCAAACTATGCACCTACGTATACAATGAATGTCATCGAAATAATACCCTATACGACTATTAATTGCAAGTTTCAAAAGATAATAGAGCCACACTGATAATTGCGTGGATCGCCGTTAACTAAACCGAACGTTATAATCGTTTTCCTTTATAGCAACTATGCGAATATCTCGTTATTATAAGTGGTTAAACGCTGCCGAATTATTTTTACCAAACTATTACAATTCAATAGATCATAATGAGAAACTACATATCCGTTGAAGGGAAACAATTTCAAGTGAATTGAACGTATTCATGAAAATATATATCTCGTAAAACGAGGTAACGCTTGTTTCGTTCATAGCTAAATCATAGAAAAATATGATGCCGTAATAATGCTATGGCAGGCAATACTTTCGATGAAAAAAGATAGCTTTTACGAGAAAAGAAAGTCGACTTGTGCGGCACTTGAAGAATGACTTCCTTAAATACGTTTTCTCAAAACCTATTAAAATCGAAACTCTTTTCAAAAGTAGTTTCTTTAATTTCAGAGTTTAACGATCTCATAAAACCGTTAATACGGGATAAAAAAGAGTTCACGATAAGTACGATAAATAGAATATATATATATATATATATATATATATATATATATATATAAAACTCATTTTTTCAAAATTATATAAGGACATCTATTATACCAACCAACAATACATCCATCCCCAATACTTTCTTCTTCCGAGACGATCGCGTATCACCAATACGCGTAATTCACACGATTGCCTCGATAGTTTTGATTTTTACGAAAAATGAATCAAAATACTCGTCTCGTTTTTCTTACAAATACCGATACATTTTCCAGCAACGAACGCTAATATACTCGTGGTCAAGTTTTATCATCCACTATAATTAATTGACTCATAGATATATATACAGGTCACAGACCATATCGCTTTTAATTGGAATGAAAGACTAACGATTGTACAACGTGGTTATTTCAATTACGAATTTGCGTTGGCAAATGAAAAGGAACGATTAGAACGCGTGCAAGGACGAGGACGACCGAGCAATTAAGTGAGATGGAAACGGCACGATGTCAAGCTTTTATTAGGTAGAGAGAACGTCGAAGGTAGATGTGCAATATTTCGTGGTGTAGAATATGATGATTACGATAACGCGTTGGCGTGCGTTAGTCAGAACAATGGAGTCGAAAGAGGGGAAATAAAAGAAGAGACATCGAATGAGAGATCAGGAGGAAGATCGGGAGGAAGATCGACAGAGAGGGATCTAGAGAGGGATCGAGAAAGGAGGTTCCGAGAGGTCTCTCGAAGAGTAGCGCGTAGAGCAGGTCGGCCGATAAGGGCTCGTTCATAAGCGAGAGACCTCTACTTACCGATCACGTAGCTGTAGCCATCCAAAGTGAGGACACACTTTCGCGTATTGGCGGAACTCGGAATGCCGGGCACTTGTTTGCGAGAAATTCGCTTAGTAGGGCTATAAGAAGTGCCGGGGGTACTTCCGGCACCCGGGTCCGAATGGCACTTCTGCACAGGGTCTTTGCTTTGTCTAGACGTCATCGTCTTGTTAGACACCCCTTTTTCTTCCTCTTCTTCTTCTTCCTCTTCTTCTTCCACTTCTGTCTTCTCGACTCTTCTTCGTACCTTCACACCATTATGCTGTCCCCTTCTCCTCGTCTTAGTAGTCTTCGTGAGACAAGAGAGGATCGAATCGGGGAACTTGGCGTTCTCCACGGCTACATCTAGACGATGGCGCCGTTCTCTTTGATTACCACTTGATTTTTCTACTTTCCTCTTTTCTTGCACGGAAAAGTAGAAATTATTACTGCAACGAATCCTCAATTGACTTTTCTCATGATGTCTTTTCTTTCCTTCTCGCTCTTTATTTTCTTTCGTCTTCACATTGAGTTAACGACGGTTCGTGCCTTACGAAAGAAAACTCGTTTACTCGGCGTCGTCACGGAAAATTCCCACGCGCGCCATACACAAGGGTGCTATGATTCTTTTTATCGACAAGAAACATCGGTACCTGTGACGACCTTTCGAATTCTTCGAAACTGTGGGAATTTCGGTCTTTTCGAGAAGTAAAAACTTCGTGTTTTACTCGAACTACAATGGACGGATATAAATACGCATCAGTAATTCGAATAACCGAGGAACAAATGTAAGGGTTCTTGTCGTTTTTTTTTCTATCGCGCTATCTCTCATTGTTTCCACCTTACTGCTCGCGTCCTTTTCTCTTTTAATATATGGGTGCTTCGTTCGAGAATACGTTCCTCTTTCTCTTCTTTCATCATCATCGACCATCACCTCCTCCTCCTCCTCCTCTTCCTCCTCCTCCTCCTCCTCCTCCTCCTCCTCAACCTTCTCCTTCCCCGTCACTACCTTCTTCACGTTCTCCTCCTTGTCCTCTAGTTCGCTTCGATAAGGTTTCCGTCCAGCAAAGCGAAAAATATATGTTGCGAACATCGACCCCGTTACGCTTCACGGTTCGTTCGACCGACGTGAACTCGCGACCCGAAACTTCTTAGTACTTCTTTTTCCATCTTCGACGGAGTCTCACCGCGAGTTAAATTCTGTGCTACGTCCGGAGCTCGACGATGCTTCAACTATGCTCTAGCTCGGAGGCACTCTCGCTAAGTTTCCAACCGAGAGAGAAAGAAAGAGAAAGAGAGAAAGAAAGCGATTTCACTTTTTGTCCTCTCTCTTTCTTATATTTCCTATTCAAGCAGTAGATATATACTCGCGTTCGAAATCCACGTGAGACCCGTTCTTGCAGCATCATCAATCGTCCAGTCAGTAATCTTACGTCGTTGATCTTTCTTATCAGAGTACTTTTCCGTATTCAAAACCGTCATGCGATCGCTATTCAACGAAAAATATGGTATTTGAGGATCGAGTATTCTTTCAAAAAAATCAAAACGCATGTATGATGGTATAGATAGAAAAAGTGAAAGGAAGATAGATATATACCAATATATATATATATTATATATATATGTATATATATGTATATATATACATTATCTATCGAGGGTGTGCGTGCTCGTTCTTACGATCGATTCCCCGTATCGTTCATATAACCCAATGTTAAAATTCAGTTTACCCGCCAGCGACAGAGGCGCTCTTTCGATGCGCTTTTCAAAGCTACATCAAATTTACTCCTCCGTAGCCCCTTTCGGAGGCTACCTTTTTCATCCCATAGCTCAGAAACGATTGAATCTTTCGCGATAAGAAACACTTTACGCGTACAAATTAGGTCGTAAATCGAAACGCAAGTATTGAGAATAAAAAGAAAAAAAAAAGAAAAGCAGAACTAATTCCCTTCTATAAAATCGTACGAGTAGAAAGACCGCGTGCTTGGCCGGACGCGCGAATCTAAGGAAAAACGAGAACGCAAAACGCGTGTGACTCGAAGCGCGGTACCGCCACAACTGAACCTCCATTCGAAAGCTCCACCTCGTTCTAACCTCTCTCCCACCCTCTCTCTCTCTCATCCTCTTGCTCTATCATGCTCCAACTCGCCACTCGCTCTCATTCTTTCTCCCTCCTTCCCACCAAGTACCGTCGACGTGTACTTTCTCTCTTGCTTGCTTTTTATACGTCAGTTCTATCTCCGCACCCTCAGGTGTCTACGCCACTACCTAACCTCCGAGTTCGGGCTCGAAAAGCTCCCTTTGACGACCCTACTACCATCATCACCGATCCTCTTCACTCCCTCACAACTCAAACCCTTCCAACACTTTCTAAGCTAACGTATATATATATATATATATATATATATATATGGTTCTTACCATACATACGATCGATCGTTCTTTCGATCTCTTCTCTTTTGTTCCTGATTGGCATAACTTCTGTCCTTTCTCTTATATTCTTCGGAGGAATATCATAAAAGGAAAAAAAATATTCGACGGCTCATGATTGCGCGAAAAATTTTAACTCGAGGGAATGAAAAAGATAAGTCTGATGGAACGTACCATAGAAGATTAACACAAGCTCGATTGCAAAAGCGTCAAAGCAAAAAGGACTTTGGGCTTGCGGCAGGATTTCATCATGAAAATGAAATTAGATTTCGAATGTGATAGACGATGCTCAGTTTGTCCGTCTAATAAGAACTCTTTCTTTCTACTTAACTTAACTCATTGTTTTATTGCGACTCGATGACTTCTAGCGAAGTCAATACTCCTTGTCTCTCCTCTTGCTTGTTCAAATTACTTTTCTTATCGAAGTCTTTTGTGTATGTGTGTATACACGTATATATATATATATATATATATATATATATATATATATTGGGTAAACAATCAGTCTGTGGGATCACAAAAAGGCTTTAATAAAATTTTCTCTTAACGAGTAGTTCGTAAATTGTAGCTAATAAAAATGCTTCAATAATTTCATATTATTTCTTCTATCGATAATCTTTCTACGATTATTTGGATTACTATCTTGTCTTCATTCTCCTCTTGAATTGTCGGTAGTATATACGAAGCCTCCTGCTTCAGTCGTTTCTTTTCTCTATTATCTCCACCTACCTACATATCTCTTGAACTCACTTCGTATATAGTTTCATCTTATATTTTCTCTCTGAACTATTCTTTCACATTTTCAAAGCTCCGTCAGTCTCTTAAAATATACTCATTTCGTCGATAAAGTATCTAAATAAAAATAAAGTTCATCTTATTGTATTAATTAAAACCCAGCGATTAAATCCGAGCGATAATCAAGGAGATCATTACTGAACTTGGAATATAATTAACGTCTGAAGAATAATCATGGAATATACATTGATCACAGTTAACTGATATTAGTCTTGAAACAGCTTACTTCTCGTTAGTCCAGCTTTACTACGACTTTTGCTTCATCGTTGCTGATTAATGTGATCATATCTTCTAATACATATCATTCGTGCTATCGAATTCCCAACATCCTTCTTCTACCCTTCTTCTACCCTTACAAATCCTTTAGCCACAACGGGTCGAGCAATCGTTTAATCAAGTGGAACATTCGCATCTTTCCCGAGGGAAAACTTGAAAAATTCAGCACTACCTGGACATCGAAGAAGAATATCCAGTTGCTTCATCCGTTTTATCTTCAAAATATCGTATGTCCTTCTGGTGAAGGGCTCTATAGAGTACCTCGTAACTTCGACCTTCGCAATATTAAAGCTCAACCATCCCTCCATATATATAATAACACTATATATATATATATATATATATAGTATTGCATACATGTAGTATTGCATTTCTCATCTGAAATAATTACCTACTCTTAACGATCCAACGAATGTTTAATACTAAGAGATTCATGAAATCTTCACGATTATTTTTTCGTCGTGAAAATTTTCACGGAATCATCGCTAAATAAAAACTAATCCTAAATTCAATATGTAACTTCATAAAATTACGCGATATTTGACACTATCAATTTATAATTAACAAATAATAATTCACGTAAAAGAAACGTAATGTTTTGTTACAAAATAATAAATTATAAAATCAATGTTTATTGAAAATATAAAAATAAAATTAAAACGAATGGTGACGAGTGAATATAACTTTAAATTTCATCATACAATTTTCTTGTTTACGTATTACTCAGCACATTTCGTTTTCCTAGAAAATATATGAAAATTGTCGTCCCGAATGCCGAATAGTAAGAATAGAAATACGAAGATACATAAAGTCAATGCAGCGAAAACATGTACTACCTTCTTCACTTTTCCACACATCAGGACAGATTTCCATGATTTTGTAGGATATGTTTCGTGTGATTTTCATGCGAGAAAAGATACAGTCTCTGAAAAGCGAAGATAATATTTTGGAAAAACGATCGAATAATAGTAACCCTCACTTCAAGGCAAATCTCGCTTTCAATGGAACTTTTTATGTTCTTCCTCTTCAAGAACTTTGTGGTTTTCTTCGAACTTTCCAGAGACGTCATTCCGATCCAACCGCTCCCACGTGCTTCTACTCTATAAAATTTACGTTTAACTCTTACTATTTTACATAAGACGATAATCCTGTGAAAGTTTCAAAATACACTTAATCCCTTAGAAAAGATTCTTTTCTGTAAAATGATAAAGAAAACAAGGCCAACTTGTTAAGGTTGAAAATTGTCAACGATTTTTCTTGAATTTATTATTATTAAAGTTCATAACAGCTGAGAACAATAAGCAAAAAAATGCATGTTCTTTATCGCAATATTTATGAAAAAAAAAAAGAGAAAAAATAAATAAATAAAAAACAAAAAAAGCAACGTAACGAATCTGTGTAAAATGGATTCGTACTACAATATCAGCTTTAACATTTCCATTCTTTGGTACAAAAGGAAAATATTACAATACGTACTTATGTTTTACGTAGCGAATTTATCAAGCTACGAGGCGGAACTTGAAAAGAATCGAGGAATTCCTTTCTCGCGAGTAACATATTTCATCCGATCGAACACCGAGCTAACTGAGTTCGGTTTCCTAAACTCAGTTCGTGTTACATTTTTATTCGAGTGACTTTTACGTGCGAATTATCCAATATTCTACGCTCACCGAGCGCCACTGGACCGTATTACGTCCTCGTACGTCCCTCGATCGATACCTCGATTATCTAAATCACCATAAAAGTAACCTACCTCGTCTCACTATCGACGTAGAAGAAAAATATCTTTTACTATTGATCGCTATAAAAAAGTTTATTGTCGACTGATTCAAATATGTAGGACGAATTAAGTCGAGAAAATTCCAAGTAGAATCGCACGCTTTCTTTTTTCTCATTAACGTGAGTACCAAGGCGCACATTTGAAGAGTAAGTCACTAACACTCGGAATACCTCCCTTGCAATGTTCTTGAGACGGACCCACGTGGATTCTTGATAAAAAAAAAAGCTAGAGTAGATATACATTTACCAGGACGTACGTCATTCACGATTTAGAAGAAAATGTAACAAAGAAAAAGTTTGCCAAACTCAAAGCCGACAGGAAATAAAACAAAGTAGGTACACCGAAATAAAATAAGAATAATTTTATTGCATTGCAAACTTGACATATATAGTCATTATTAGGTTTAGAGATCGTAAAGTCAAGCTACTATAATCGGTTAAATCCATTTGGAAGGAACTTCAAATCCCAAGGGCATAAAAGTTTTCGAATCTCGTCACCGTCAAACGTTCGTGTATACGTCCGTACGTAGATCCGGGTGTTCCGTTTCCGTATATAATAACGATGTTGAGACGTTTTTATCAGTACGACCCGCTAAAAGATATGACCCGAGATAATATGGCATTTTGCCGTTTATCACCGAGTGCACTTAATGGCGACC